TGGTGGTGGTGGTGGTGGCGGTGGTCTGCGACGAGCATGATGCGCATTGACATGACGTTGAGGAGGAGTACGACGACAACGAGGACGTTGATGGTGATCATGACTCGCATGATCAGCCTGAACTCCCGGAAAGCCCAGAGCTTTTTCCTAAGATGCATGCTGATGAAGCTGCGATGTGGTTGTGGTTGAAACGGACTCTCTGCAATATACTCTGTGGGGTCCTGCAGACACCTCCTGCAGCTCCAAAAGATCAAACAGATTTCCAAGAGACCTGAAGCCTTGAGCTTCTATCAGCTTTCTACTTTGGACACTAGCGGCCTTGAATATGAAGCGATGCCGGAGTTTCATGCTGTGAGCATCTGTGAGCCAAGCAAATTGTCATCAGCGAACCATCCCTGAGGGCAGAAAGAGGAAGGTATGAAAAGACAACTCGACGCAGAAACGTGATGTGGATGTCATGCTGGGAGTGCAATAGCTTGAAATCTGCTGCCTCACCACTCGATCTTGGAATCTGAGAATGTGTCTGAAGGATGCCACTGTTGAAAACGCCAACAGCTTGCCCGCGGTGTCTCTTGCGGGGCTGCGGAACGGGACGCGCACTTCTCGCACCGATTGTGTGGGCTCAGGGGTTTACTTTCGGGTCTTAACGCCTAGGGCTGTGGTGGCTTCGGGATCTGCCTTGCCCTCCCTCTCTGCGCGGCTGCTGAATCTTGAGTCTAAGGCTCGAAGCTACAGACGTTAGACTTTAGACCTCAGCCCAGCCGAATCTCATGCATCGGGGCTGCTGACCGAGACCGTACTCCGCACATCTTCCCGAGCTCTTACAAGAATCTTTTTCAGGGGTGTTGGGGGCCTTCTCGGCACCTTCCGTCCCGCTTTCAGACAGGTCCCCGGTCCCCGACACGCGGGATGGCGCCCGGGGGCGGGGGTGGCCCACGTGAAGATGGGATACCTGGGCTCTTCTATCTTGAGTCACATCCAAGATAAGGGATGTACCGGGTGCTAACAAAAAGCCGTGCTTTAACATAAGCCGTGTCATGAGCTCTCTGGGGCTTTGATTTTATTCCTGCGTCGTGTTGCTTCCGAAGTTGATTTGTGACTTCGACGGGATGTCCGCAACAACCCGTTCAATTGTGACTCGCAAAATGTTCTGGTGCAGTCCCTGGTAGAGGCCACGTTTCACAAAATGAGGTTCGGATACTGACGCAGTGTCCAGAGCAGCTTCGACTCTAGATTACCCAGGCATTGAATCTATAGACAGGGCAAACAGCACTGCCATCGAATAGGCGCCCACGGACACCACAGGATGCCCTAGAAGCCGGCGATGCACAGAAAAACGGCTCGCACTGCGACCAACCCGGCCTCTGGAAGATGGCGCCGGCGACGCGCCACTCATGGAGGGGGCCTCTCAGCGCCCCATGAAACCACATAAGGAACCCCCCCAAAATAGTGTTGGTAATTACCTATAGTCTCCATTGTAGTTCCTTTTTGGGGATGGCATCCCCCTGGACATCCCTGGGCGACTTGAGCACTTAAGCACTGTCAAGCGGTGCGGATGCGGCACCCCTGGAACTTTCGGCAACCTCTCAGGCGATCGCCACAGAGGGCCCCTTGGACATGACGCCCGGCGGCATCGGCGGTGGCGGGGGCGGCCCGCCGAGCGGCAAGGCTTTGCCCCCGACCTGGGCCGACAGTGGTCCGACGCCTTCGGCTTCCCATTCTCTGCTTGTTGCGGCTGCACTGCCGCAATTGCTCAGGTCAACGTCAGAATCTTGAACCTACACGAAACAGAGGCCGAACCACCAAGCCCAGTCTTGCAAACTGCACGGGCTGAGTCCCTGCGCCGTTCTGAAAGTTGGGATGCCGGAAGCTCCTGAGCTGCAGACCACTCGCTGCTCTGAGAGTCGAAGCGTCTCCAACCAGGGCGGTGTTGTAAAACCACACCGAAAGGCCCTACACTGCACCCTAAACCCAACCACCTTCAGCTTCGACCCGAAAAAGACCTCAAGAAGCCACGGCCTGGCCTTTGGCTCCGGCCGACCCCGGTGGCGATTCCTTCGGAAGAAACCTCACTTCGGAGGCTTTCAATGCAAGGGCCTCCTTGGGGGGGGGCGAGGATGCTGAGGGACTTCCTCGCTGAGGGGTCTCTTGCATGGCCTGATACCGTCGCACCGGCAGAGTCTTCGGCGCGAGCAAGGATTCTAAGGGGTGGCTCAGCAGATTGCTCCGGCGCCACGCCGCACTTCTGCAGGACAGGCACAGACATGCTTGTCCTGCAAGCCCCTTAACGCTGAGCGGGGAACGCCGGTCGCGCCACTGGAGGCTTTGCCGACCTTGGTTGGCAACTGTAGGTTTTTGGACATGGCCACTGCTACGGTGGCAGTTCGTTTGGGACCGTTTGCGTGAACTTTGGGGCCAAGGCCTCCGAAGCACCTAGGACCTAAGAGTGCTCCGTAGCTGGCAAGCCAAGGACTGAGGATGAAAGGAAGGTCAAAACTTTGGTTACACGCTTTAGGCTTTGTGGTTTGAGGATTGACGGTGTGGGCCATCCACAAGCATCTGTTTCTCCAGTACCAAGCACGCGCGCGGAGACAGCTTTGAATGGAGAGAGCTTCAACGGCTTCGTGCTTCCGGCACTTCGGAAGGGCAAACCCCGCATGACCAGAGTTCGTCCGTGCCCCGAGCGGTGGCGGAGGCGGAGCGTTCTTTGGCGGGTTCCTCAGACACGCGCCGTGGAACAGAATTCCCACGGCTTGCATACGTCTCAGCCCGATGTCCGGCACTAGGAGCTTTTACGAGGCATAGACACCGGAGCAAGGCGGGACTTGATGCCAGATCTCAAGGTGAGCATGCACGAGACTTCTAAATTGCGGAAGTCTTTGAGACATTATCATTAACGCTTGCAATACCCGCGTAATCGGAGACCCGGCCTGGGCGGCGCCAGAGGAAGCGCCGGCTTCTTCGCCGGGGCTTTCCGCATCTTCAGGCCCACGTCGTTCTGTGGCGGAGCTTTGATGCCAAAATGATGTCGATCCCCCAGGTGGTCTGGAGAGGGGACTTCTGTGTGACTGGCAGGACCTTTGTTTTCGATTGGTTTATGCATCATGACTTCCAAACTGGGTCTGGGTTCACCTCAAAAGTGGCCTTCCGAATGCGGCTCTGGAGGAAATCGCCGCCCACCAGCCGCCGGCGAATCTCGAACCTTTGCTGACAGTGCAAGGGATGCAGCAACAGTAGTCACGTAAGACTAGACCAGCCCCTATCCAAACGTTTCTAGTATTCTAGTAGTCTTGCAATCACAGCTCTTGCGAAACACTGCGTGTTCGCCCCAGCTTAGCTCCGAGGTGCAACGTATCGCAACAAACGACACCAACAACCCGATAAGGGTTTCGTTCCGATGAACCAAAAAGCATGCAGTGTCCTCCTGGTCCTGGCAATCATTCGCAAAAAAGCCTCATCGAGTGCCATCCACAGGCCACGCAGCGCCTTGAACTTGATTGAGGTCCACGCAAGAAGAGGCAACAACAGGGCCCGGACTTGCGCAGCTCGACCACCGTCGTCACAGCGCCTCGGATAACCTGCCCGGGCTGCTGATTGCTTTGTGCGGATTTCGGGAAATCGCATGAGCTCGGTGCGGACTCAGTTGCCCGGGATACATCCCTGACCCACCGAACCTTCCACTGATGAACAAGAAAGCAGACCCCCGAGTACCAGTAGAAAACTGATGCTCTAGGCTGAGGCTGAGCCCGCCAGCCTCCAAGACGAACAAGGCGAGGCACACGCCGATGATGCAGGCATAGGCCCAATGCTGCTCCTCGTGCCCAGGGCCCGCACAACCCGATGTGTCGACACGAGGATCTGGGCGCTCTGTTCATACGCGGGCCACGAGGGAGGCAAAAAACTTGGGGTTCGTGGGTTCGGGCCTCAACTCGCTGAAACTTGGTGCTGTAGGTCAGGTTGAGGACCACCTGTGCGAAGGCACACGGGCCGCTGGGCTCAGTTGCACCCGCTGTGATGGCTTCCTTGCGCTGTTTGCTGTTGATCCCATGACACGGAAATCCGGAAAAAATCCATACCAGTAGCAAGCAAAAGGCTAAGCCCAACTGCAACAAGCAGCTGAACTCGAGGATTCGGGCATCGGTGGATGATTGGGGGGCTGGTCTGCTTTCTCAAATCAGCCGTGGGCAGCCTGACACGCGATCGACGTTGCTGAGGCCTGAGTGGTGAACAAAACAGACTACGAGCATGTGGCAGGCGTGAATACTGGTCTTCGCGTGGCAATCTTCCAGCTTTGGGAATGAACAATACGTGACAGCCGCAACCATGCCATCAGCGAGAATGCAAGAATGACAGCAGTGACGTATGTGACCTTGAAACTCGGACTTCAGACTCCTATTCAGGACATCAAGGCCAGGCCCCGGCAATGTAAGGTGACATCAGCGTCACCTGGTAGACCCACTCCGGCGCCACCCAGCCAACGTCCTTCTGCAACAGGTGCGAGATCACACTTAGGGGGAGCAGTGCGGCAACCTGAACACGCAAAGTGTCACTCAAGTAGCATCGGCGAAGCTTTTCCCAGGGCTTCATCTTCCGTGAAATCACTAATTCGAAGACCACTCCACATGCCGATCCCCAACATCGACAGCCACTGAGAAGATGTATAGTCTCGAACATCTGTGCCCCTAAACTTTGAACTTTAAACCCAAGCCCTGTTCAGGCTTCAAGTCGTGTCCGCTCCTGTGCCTCATCCTGGAGCTGCTGCCTTGGCCAGTCACATCCAACATATTAACATAGCACAACATCACATGGGATCTTCCGAAAATTAGGGGTACCTTATTTTGGGGTCCTTATAATAAGGATCCTACTACTTGGGGTGCTATATTAGGGTCCCCTATTTTCGGAAACCCCCCATATGTGACAGTGGTGTGGGATAACGTCGTACTACGGCACACGCAGTATGATACGAGGCAGTACGAGATGCCGAATGGCATTTGCCGACTCCTCGTGGAGTCGGCTGCGCAGAGCTGAGCCACCAGCTCCGGAGGTGGAAGATCCATGTATGCAACTGTATGTATGTATGGTTGTTTGTTTGTTCATTTGCCTTTGCTTTTTTTGGAGGGGCGGTGCACTTGGGTGAATTCGACACATGGGTTTTCTGAGTCCATCGGCTTCTTGTTTTTGAGGGCTTGGGGCGTGAAGCTCAGGCTCGGCATCATGGCTTGATGCTTGCGACTTTCACGGGGGTCTTGGATGCAAGGCTTCTAAACCAGCACCTCGAGGTTTGTCTCATACTACGATCCCAAATTTGTTGATGCCGAAAGGGGTTGTGGGGCCCGGGCCCAACTCACCTCCCCGAAAATCCCACGCCACTTGGTCACTAGGCACCCAGCGCATGGGACTTCGCTGCCCGGTCGATGTACGCCAGGCGTACACGCCGGACCTAGGTCCCAGAACCCACCAAACGCCATACATGTCTCCAGAGCTCTTGCGTCCCGGGACGAAAGCTCAAGATCCACGACATGACATCTGCATCGTTTCCGATCTGAGGGCATGAGACCTATAATGGGGCACACACTGCGTCCTTGTGATGATGCAGGGCGCCCGGCTGGGTCCCGAAACATGCTAGACACGGAGAGAGACGAACAGCTATAGACTATAGATGCACAAGCAGACACCGCCACAAGAGAGGCTGGAGACAGAGAGAAAGAGAAAAAGAAAGAGAAAGAGAGCGATGGAGGGATGGAGAGCGAGAGCGGAGAGAGCGAGAGCGGAGAGAGCGAGAGCGGAGAGAGCGCGACTCGGCAGGCTGAGACCCAAGAGCTCAAAATTGCCCAGAGGCCCAGGCGAAGGTTGGGTCGTCTTCCCGGGGCGGAGGCGGCGGGGGTGGTGGAGGCGGCGGCACCTGGGAGGCGAATCGACAGGTGCTCTGGTGAAGGGTCAAGCAAGCTTTTAACGCTTTGAAGGAACTTGTTGTTTCAGCTTCAATCACTTCATTCTTAGACGATGCGATGCAGGGGCTTGTCTTGCAGCCAGGGGTTGGGCTCAGCGAGGATCGCCTAGGATTTCCAGTGACTGGCTCATACAAGATTAAACCTTTGGCATCACGTATGACTTTGTGTGAGAAGCGGACGGGGGCGAGAGACAACATCAACAAGCAGCAACTGCTGGTCCTGCTGAGCCTGATGCGCCGCCCGGAAGAGCCTGGCCGGACGATGATTGAAGTATCGTTCCGCCATGACAACACACACACACATGGTTCTTGTGGACGGAAGAGAGACTGTCCTTGTCTTTGCAGGCTCTTTCGATCACCCTCGTCTACTCCAAAACCCCAAGGAACGCTGACAAAGCTTCGACTAACATAAAGTTGGTGGCACGGAGACTGTCCGACGCGCCTTGCCCGACCTTGGTTCACGCAAGCTTATTCGGGTTCGGTCAATCCCCATACTTCCGCATCGTCATCATCATATTGGCAATCCCGTGAGGGCTTTTAGCTCAAGATTCTCAACAGACTCAATCGAAACTTCGTGGGGAGCCGGGACACTCTCACTCCCCTTCCTGCTGAGGCATGCGTGTTCTGCAGCAGCCTATCACAACTCGCAACTGAACCCCCAAGCCCTAAACACCGAACAACGAAGAGTCCTCATTCTGTCATTTGGCTCTGTTCGACTGTAAGGCTCAGACAGGCCCGGCAACCCCTTCGGTATCGGCGGACCCACAGGCGGAGCTCCAGGAGGCCCCCTGCAGGCAAACGCTTCTCCGAAGAAAGCTTCCGGGACTGGAGATGCGAGCTTCGTTCTGGATATCAAGGAGTGGCTTTCTCCTCTGATCTCCCCGGATCAGACAATCTCCAAAATCGCACAACGAACAAGCTGCCATGCAGAGCCTTACCCTGCAAGGAAAACGGGACCGCGACTACCCTGTATGCACAAACGACAGCTCAAGCACAAAACAGCCGAAACTGAAATGACTCACAGCTCGAAGATGTGCAGCCACGCGCACTTGAACGGAACCGGCAGAAACTTGGCCGGCTCTCCCCGATGGACCTGAGCCACATCGTTAGGAACTTCTGCCTGTGTCTTTATTAAGACGAATCGATCAGCGGCTGTCCAAGGCCTCATGTATCAGAACTTTGATCGGCTATGCTGGCAAACTTCTGAGCCGCCTGTAACCTCAAGAGTCGCGTGAAAAGATCTACAGCGACGCCAAAGTCTAAGACTCTAAGCCCAACTTTGCTTGGCATGGACTGCCGTGCAATGCCCTGCAAAGGTTCTCCCGACCAGACCATGGGATGCTCTCAAAAAGTATCATAGCAGCACTAAAGAGTGACTAAACACACTGGGGTCAAACACTTTACCCCCAAACACTTGCATAGCGTTCCCCTGCAGACTGGGCCGCTGGCGACTCCCCTCGTCACCCCCATTGGCTGCAACGGCATTGGGGGCAGATCCTTCGGCACGGCCTGGGCTTTGAACTTCGGGCCGACCAACGTGAAATCTGGGAGCCCGAGAAAACGCCTTGCGCAAGCCCCCGAAAAAATCAAGCCGAACTTGTCCTGAAGGGTCTGAGCTCTCACACCGGTGGCATGTACGATCCAGGAGTGCTCCCTGCGCATCGGTGAGACATCTGTGAGACACGACGTGCTCTGACTGCAGTGTAAGCGTTGATGCCAAGGCTTACAAGACCGCTCTTCCGGAGTTCTCTTGCAGAAGGTGGGGAAGGCCGTGCACTCCACGAGACCGACACCTTGGAGAGCTGCTACTCGGAATGCCAGACGCCAGCTCAAGCAAACGAACTCAAGCACGCTGACCACACAACACATCGAGGGAAAGGTGCCTGAGAGCGGTGGTGGCGTCCTTGGAGTGTTGTACGCTGACCTTCGGCCCAGAGTCATCTTCATGTTTCTATAGATGACCATTGGAAGCTTGGGGTCTTTCTCTTTCCATGTGCTTGTCGCGATTCGGGCGGATGCGCTGCTGAGACAAAAAGCCTGGCTTCTATCTTCCTTCGAAACAACGTGATGGAAGCCCTGAGCCAGGGAGGAGCAAACAACACTGTGAAAGCGAACACGCACGAACACATTCCAAGCTTCCGCGACTGACGAGTCAAATCATCGCTTCCAAGAAGAGAGGCCTCCAATGTGGTGGCAGTCCTCACTAAGAGCCCCGCCCTGCCGGAGTCCGGTTCACCGGCGTCATTCCACCCGTCGGCGTCATCCCGCCTGTGGCTGGGTGCTCTGGGGAAAAGCTCGACGGCGGGCGCTTGCTATGCCACTTTGTCTGTTGAACTTAGGATGCCTCTTAGAGAGCTGCGTCCTTTTCGCCCTGCAAGTTGGCAACCCGTGTCCAGATCTTGAGTTTGCTCGGATCTGAGTTCCTGAAGTTCGGGTTGGTGCGCAAGGTTTCGAGTGCTACAAGTAGGTTTCCGGTTCATGAAGCTCTGGGTCCTGTGAGTGCTGCAGTGAAGGCCCTTGGTGTCTCAGGGACTAACAATTAGATCTTGGCGTGAAGATTTAGATCCCTGTCTCCCAGGTTCCCGAAAACTGCCCGACTTCCCAAGGCGCTTGACAGGAAGAGCGTTTCCGGCCTTTGCAAACACCTACGAGACCGGTTTACTAAAAGGCCCGTGGCTTGCAGAGCCGACTCGGGCTTGGGCATCGTGCGAGAGAGGCTCGCGAGGTGCGAACGGCAATCTACAACATGCCATAAATCCTACACTTCTACATCCCCTGATTTCCTGCAGATCCCTCTGAACAACCTGCGTCGAAACACAATCCTCACTCAGACCCACGAAGACAGAAGACAGAGAGGCCTGTGGGCGTCGACATGCCCTTCGGCGGAGGTGGTGGGCCGGACAACGGCGGCCTCATAGGAAATCTCTGTCCCAGGCAAGCTTGCATGCAGGTTGTGAGAGCAACAGCACTGCGTTTCTGAGATGGAGACAAGCTCAATAAAAGACTGCTTGCAGCAGCGCAAAGCGGCAAGTGTCAGAAATTCACCATTCCGTGCCATAGCCGCTAAATGACAACAAACCTCCACGAGACCTCTTTATCATTGTCGCTAGATGGAGACGAGCAGACCTCGAACGATCAACTCACGATTTGCGCCACCAGACTGGACAAAGGAAGACGTTGCTCCAGAACTGAATCATTGCACACGAACAGAGCGGATGGATACGTACCAAGTCTTGAGGGACAGCTGATCTGATACAAGGTCAAGCCGGTTGCCAGCAGTTTTCTCTTTCGAAGTCGGAATGCCATTGATGCTGCTGGCTTTGCCCTCCTTCGTTGACACCATAAGCTCTCCTGATGTTGCTGTGCATTGGCACTGCACCACAAGGCATGACACCATAGTGCTCGTGTGCATCACGAGCACTCATTCTTGCTACTCTGGTGACAGCTTTCGAAAAGAAAGCCACAAACCACAATCCAAACGGACCAATGACAATGAGCAACGTCACGTGAATTCAACTCGTAGCGTAGCAATCTGCACCCTCACCTACCGATGCGAAAGACGGCTAAACCCTGCCCTAAGCTTAAACCCGACACACTAATCCCTAAACCCCGAACCCCGAAAGCGCACTGTTCTCCGAGAGCCCCCGCAGAGGCGGCGGATCTCCGGGGGCCATCCCATGCCTCAAATCATGACTGCAACTAGGAAAACCGAGCGTGTTTTGGATGAAGGGCTCAGGGACCAGGGATTTGGGTTTCGGGTTCAGCATGTCGAGCCTAGGGTTTGCGGGAGGTTGCGCAGGCTAAAGCCATGGGACATGAACTACTGTACCTGCCGTCCTAGACCTCTTCCACGCATTCCTGAATATGGCCCAGATACATTGGTCAAGGAGTCTAGGAGTGCATCACAGGAAGGATCACGGCAAATACCAGACTCCAAGTCTCATGCAAGTGCCCACAAGCTCGATCTCTTCACACACCCCTCCCATGGCCGAAACCTTCAGCTACACCGCCCTGAGGTGTTGGCTTCGGGTCCCGCTGAATTCGTCGCACCGCCGTCCCCGCAGCCTCTCCAGCTTTTGAGGCGCGTACTGCAAAGGGCCGAGACACTCATGAAAAGCCTTCGGGTCGCATGCTTCAAGCTTTGAGGCTGCCTCTTATCGGCAAGGCGCAAGCCTTGCAACCTGAACTGAAGGTGCGGCAAGTGGGCTCTAAGTGGCCAAGTAGTTTGGAGGCTTCAGGACTGTCGCATGTTCCGACGCGCTCTCATTCCTTTGATTTCCTTAGAATGGTCCCTGGCCTGACTTCACATCTCTTTCTTGGGTCTAAGTCTGTTTGGGCTGTGTTTGGGCTTCCGGGGGTTCCGGGCGCGCCGAGCCTCCTCGGCCTCGTCGGTCTCTTCGGCCGCCTCAGCAAAGAAACCCAGGGACCCTTTTCTCAGCTTTTCTGCCCTTGCTGCGTGCTATGCCTCGGCTCCTGAGAAACTGACGGCCTGATGAAAAGCCTCCGAAGTCACAGTGCCGGGCATCGGAAGGGCCTGGCACGCGGATCCAGTAGTTGGACGGGAAAGGTGGTTTATATAGGTGCTCGGTCCACTAGATAACGGCTGGGTCCAGGGAGGGTGCCCGCCCCAAAAACCAAAGGAGACATGGTCCCCAGACACGCTCCCGGCCTCTCTGTCCGAGAAGGTCCCCGAGGGTGGTGGTGGCAGAGCAGAGCCTGCAGGCTCTTCTGCGGTGAAAATCTCTCAGAGGCTTTGTGGGGAGGCTTTTTCGGGATTTGAACATGAACGGAGAGTCCGATCAAGTGCTTTGCAAGCCCACAGCCACCTGCATTCCCTAATCTTTCAGGATCCCCTTTGAGTTCCCCCACCTCCAACATGCAAAGCACTTCAAGGAAAACCTCCCCTCAACGCTTGGGGAACTCGGAGGACTGCAAGGCTCCCTCCCGGGCAGACGCCACAAAACCTGATCCGGAGCATGCGGCCTTGCCCGGCCGTTCGAGGACCCTGGATGGAGGGGTTCGACCTCAAAATGGCTTTTTGGATTCTTGCCATCCTCGCTTTGGTTCAACGGGAATCAATATTACAACATGCTGCCGTGCCCTCAGCATACCGGGACATAATCCCTCATACTCGCAGGCCTCGGCTGCCTCAACGGCCTACTTCATGCATCAAAGTACCTTGTTCGATTCAGAGCAAGCGGGTAGCGGCTAGGACTCACGAGGCTGTCAGGTAGATCCGCCTCCTGGGCCTCCGGAACCAGACCACCGTAAGAGGCTGGAGACCCTGCAGCTCAAAAGGACCTCTGCCTTGGAGCCGGGCATCGTCCGTCCGCCCGGCGGTGGCGGCGGTGCTGTCAAGGCTGCCTTAGCTGCGGATTTCGGGGCTGAGCCATGGCCTGTCGCTTCGCCTACAGGGGCTTCGGGTTTCGGGTTTAGGGTTTAGGGGCTGTTCAACACTTAGCGTCCGGACCTCCACTTTCCAACGAAACCGCCTACAACACGTCACAGCAACAACACTCTTCCAACCGAAGTCCTACTCCCTCGGTTTCAGAGATGTTTTCCCTACTCGCTGGATATCTCTTCGGCCAACTCCGAGGCATCGACGGGGCCCCCAGAAGAGCTGCGAAGAGCGCGCCTTGGCTATGACTTGCCAGGCGGGAGGAAAAAACTCTCCCGGCCACAGCTTGACGAAGAGCCTTCCAGCAGAGCGCTGTGGCAAAAAAAACGTAAAAACAAACAACGCCATGGCTCGCCTGGAAGCCAAGAGGAGAAACAGGCAGGACCCGAACCGGTAAAGCGGAACCCGAATACCGAGTGAACCGGAATCGCCGCAAACCACAATCGGCACGTCTGACTTCGAAATCCAAACTCCCGACGATAGGCGTCTTGCACACCCTAAGTATCGACATCCTGTTGAATACAGCTCAAGCCCTCGGATGCTGCTTTGTTCCGCCCAAGTTGCGCAGGTGGCTGCGGGTATTTCGGAGGGGGTGGTAGTGCACCGAGTGCTGGATTGGCGGCCTCCGCATGTCAAGATACTGGAGTACTTGCAGTTGCGGGGGTCCCGCTGTGATGCTATGCTCAACGGATCATGTAAGCTCCCATGGCAGTGTCTAGCAGTCCCCCACAGGCTAGGGAAAAACCACACTAGCGCAGATGAAGCCAAGGCACACGCACGCACAGCCCCTACATAACATGATACTACCTGGGTAGTGTAACAAGAAAACTACGGTCTGGACTCAGGGTCGTAAGCGTCTCAAGGTCAATCTGGGACACGCTTGCGGGATACTCAACCCTCCTGATAGCATTGTCAGGGCTAATAGCTCGTACAAAGCGCGCATCCCGCGTCTCGCGCCCACTGAAATTCATGTTTTGAGCTTTCGACACGTGCGGCTCATCCGACGGTCGCAGCATTCCCACGGGATCTGTTTGCGGATAGCCCCGGATGTACTAGGTGACCCTTTACATGCGAAGCCTCAAACTTCGAAAGACCGTGCATGCCCTCCTGTTCTAAGAGCAGTGCTCCCCTCGTTGTTGCACATTGGTGCACATCAGCAGTAGTTGCTGCTTGGTCTTTGCCAGATTCAACTGATACAAGCAATCAACTGGCAAAGCCACACACCCAACAGAGAAACCATCGGACGGCTTCAAAATGTTTTTGAAGTAAGAGCTTTAGGGACAATGCTCAGATGCAGTGCCATTGGCTGATGCCATCCGGCAACAACATATTCAGCTTGAAGTATCCGGTCCAATGTCATAGCCGTAGAGGACTTATAGCTTCCGTGAGTCGCGATCGTCTGTGCTCGCATTATCCTGACGGCATGCTGCCGAGATGTCGAGGATGGCATCCTTCCAGTCCTGCTGAGGCGCAGTTCCATTTGAGATAGACACGCTTTTGCCACCTCCATTCTGCAGCTCCTACTGCAGCAACATCCTCCGATGGCTGCGCTGTAACAGAACGTTCCCCACGCTCGAATCGGAATCGATGCATGGGCTTTGTGCTCGCCCCAAAGCAAGGGATGCTGCACTGCAAGGAGGTGGTGATTATCTTGAGTTGTCTGCCGAACTCCACCCCAATCGAAAGCAGGTGCTTGTGATGTCGGGACCGAAAAGCTTCAGCGAAGTGTCCAAACAGGGCCACGTATAATATCATAACTGCACGCACTCCCCCTGGACAAGGATGCACGGCTGCCCTTCGACAGATCACCAGAGAACTGTGGAAGACCCCCGCGCCCAAGTCGTTGTACCAGGCC